AGCTTCCAGCTCCTCAGATACTCCGCGTACTAAAGTTGTACTACAAAATCGCCAGTTTCAAGACGCCAGTTCTCAGCCTTCACCTCGCCAGATTACTCCGCGTACTAAAGTTGAACTACAAAGTCGCTAGTTCTCAGCTTCCAGCTCGCCAGATGCTGCGCCTGCCACGAAATCTGCACCTCGAGGTTCACAAAGTGCTACGCCTGCCACGAAATCTGCACCTCAAGCTTCACAAAGTGCTGTGCCTGCCACGAAATCTGCACATGGAGGTTCACAAAGTGCTGGCACATGGAGGTTCACAAAGTGCTGCGCCTGCCACGAAATCTGCGCATGGAGGTTCACTAAGGGCTGTGCCCGCCACGAATTCTGCACATGGAGCTTCACAAAGTGCTGCGCCTGCCACGTAATCTGTGCATGGAGCTTCACAAAGTGCTGCGCTTGCCACGACATCTGCGCGTCAAGAAACAAGTGAAGACTCTAATCGCAATGGAGGGACGATTCCGAGAATGATCCGACCATGTTCGACCATGACCCGAGACCGTCTCGCAGCCGTCATTCCGCGGAGCTTCCCCGTCGAGGTTCGGAGCAGCATGGAGGTTCACAAAGTGCTGTGCCTGCCACCAACTCTGCGCATGGAGGTTCACAAAGTACTGCGCCTGCTACGCAATCTGCGCATGGAGGTTCACAAAGTGCTTCGCCTGCCACGAAATCTGTACATGGAGGTTCGCAACGTGCTGCGCCTGCCACGAAATCTGCGCATGGAGGTTCACAAAGTGCTTCGCCTGCCACGAAATCTGCGCATGGAGGTTCACAAAGTGCTGCGCCTGGTACGAAATCTGCGCATGGAGGTTCACAAAGTGCTGTGCCTGCCACGAAATCTGCGCATGGAGGTTCACAAAGTGCTGCACCTGCCACGAAATCTGCGCATGGAGGTTCACAAAGTGCTGCGCCTGCCACGAAATCTGCGCATGGAGGTTCACTAAGTGCCACGAATTCTGCGCATGGAGCTTCACAAAGTGCTGTGCCTGCCACGTAATCTGCGCATGGAGGTTCACAAAATGCTGTGCCTGCCACGACATCTGCGCGTCAAGAAGCAAGAGAAAACTCTAATCACAATGGAGGAACGATTCCGAGAATGATCCGACCATGATCCGACCATGCGTGACCCGAGAGTCGAGGTTCGGAGCAGCGTGGAGGTTCACAAAGTGTTGCGCCTGCCACGAACTCTGCGCATGGAGGCTCACAAAGTACTGCGCCTGCTACGCAATCTGCGCCTGCTACGAAATCTGCACATGGAGGTTCACACAGTGCTGTGCCTGCCACGAAATCTGCGCATGGAGGTTCACAACGTGCTGCGCCTGCCACGAAATCTGCGCATGG